CCATCCTTACCCTACAACTTGCATCAACAACTGCTTCCACCATGGAAACAGTGGGCCCAATTTGTTAACCCATGTGCATAGAAACATTCCCATAAATTTATTCAAGAATTTTTGCCATGTAAAGGAATGCAATATCTGAATAATTAATTTTTAGTATTGCACTCACAGTTTGTCACTTGCAAGCCTAAAGAAGGGGGAACATGTGTTGTGGTGACATAAAGGGTAAGTAATGAAAATTAAGTAGATACATACATTTCAAGAGAGTTTGTTAAACTGCATTTAACCTAAGTGTGAACAATCATTCAGAACTAGCAAACTCTTCATTTGCTATAATTTACTTTGAAAGTGGATTAAGGTAAATTGAATTAAGGCCTCTTTAATTTTAAATAGAAGCATCTACATGGTGATGCAATTAAACTAATACATTCTGAGAGTTAATTTGAATAACATATCCAAAACGAAGAAAACGGCTATGGGGCACTTGCTTAATTTGAGGAATCCTCTTAAGGTGGGCACTGGAAAATATTAGCTCATTTCAGAGATGCAGGAAAATGTTCTTGGAACAGCTTCTCCCTGTCCTGAGCTATGCAAGAGCTCTCAGACACTGTCTGCAAAACCTTTCCAAGCAACTCATGCTCCTCCAGCTGTGGATCTCTGCAGCTTTCTGAGCTGCTTGGCTCTGTGATCCTTTCCTTAGTGAGGACTAATGCAGCAACTGCAGTTAGTTCATGGGGCTCTAACTTGAAAAGCAGATAGAAACTCAGAGAAGATTGCTGGTAAGAGTTATTTAAAACCTCCACCAAATTTTGAATGACTGAAAATGTCAGGTGATTATCATTAACCCTCTCTGGTTCCAGAGCACAGAGTAAATGTTTGCTTTTTTTAGTTAAAACTTCCTGTGTATTCCAGCCCAAGAAGGAACATACAGGTGCAGTGCCTATACTGCTGTAGACTTGTATATTCTTCCCTCCCCCTCCCCAAAGACTACACTTGTCTTAATTTCCTCTCAATTACACTCAGGCATTAACTAATACAGACTAACTACGGCCTGAAATAATTATTGCTATCTGTTCCCTTTGTAAATATAACTCCAGCATTGAGTTAGAAGAATAATGGCATATTTACAGAAGGCAGCTAATTAAATCGAGCTTCAATTGCTTTCAGTTTGCCAGAAGGAGCCATTTTCACAGCAAAAAATGTGTGCAAGCCTGCATGCTTACCAAGAACAACTTGGTATAACATAATTCAGAGTTCCCAAGACAAAAATTCAGTTCAAGACAAATTTACACTGGCAATAAAAATCTCATTAAGGAAGATATGAAGATGTCTCTACTACACCACGACAGTTAAAAGAGGTTATCATTTTTTCAGTTTATTTAAGGAACAGTATATATTTCATTGTTCCAGAGCAGCTGTAATTGCAAGTGTCTTTCAAACACTGCTTGCAGTGATGCATTTGTCTTATGACTGTAACTTCAGAACCAGCCTGTTGATGCATCTTCATTAGGACAGAAGATGCTGAAGTTTCAAAGCTCTTCAATGCTCTAGTTCAATTTTCCCCTATTTTTCCAACTCCAAGTCCTGGGAAGTCTCTCTCCCCACTATTATTCAGCCACCTGCAAAAACTTACTATGGTCACAACTTGTCTCCAAGTGTTTGTACTCTCTTTTGTTCCTTTGAGATGTTTAGCTAAAACCATTCATGATAATTACAGAGCAGCAGTCCTTCAGCAAATCAGTTTGAAAGAGCCATTCTTGTTGAAGCCAGTTGTTACCAGTCCCCAGGGCCTTTTCTGTTCCACAAAAACGAAAACAAGGGGATTGTTTCAGAGTGTTTTTTTCCTTCCTAACAAAGAATGTGTCTGTCTTGTCCCAGTGTTCAGATGGAGAAGCCTGGCCCGCTGATTGTTATTTACAGTTTTCCTTGCAATAGTTCACTGCGTTGCAGGATGGAAAGCTAATTTTCTTCTCCTGTCTGCATATCATTCCTGAATTTGTTTTTATCTGTTGGAAGTAATGATTTGGCAGACATCAGCACTTTTCCATGTTTAATTAATTCATTTAATTTTGTGGTAAATGAGAATAATGGGGCTTAATTTTGCTATTTATGTATTGATTGGTAATTATGGACATAGCAGGAGATTTGGCTTTACAAACCAAAATTAAGTGACCTCTCCATGAGGATGACTTGGCACATCTCCTTCCCTCGTTGTATGAAAGCGGAGATGGCATGGAAGCAAATGCTGCTGAGCTCTGTTTAGGTCACAGGAAGGTAAAATGTGGAAATTTGTAATGTAAAACTGTATTATATAACAGAAACTAGTATCAAGAGTGAAACACAACCTGCTATGCAAAGACTGCTCTGGCCAGCTCCTCTTCTGATACAATGGTGCTTTATTTAATAGGAACTGGGTACTGTCAAGCCTCAAAGGGCTGAGGAGCGTGAGCGAATTCAGATAAATGGATTATAGGGAGTGTCTAAGCTTGAAGTTGGGGCTGAGGATACCTGGCTTTACTTTCTGTTCCTGCCACAGAAGACTGCTGTGCACTTCAGCAAGGTTCTTCTTGTTTTTTTTCCTGCTGTACTGTTGCATTTATAATATTTTTGGTCTACCTTGCCTAGTTTGAGTGCCAATGATTTGTGAAAGGATTTATCATTGAAAAGGTGAAACAAGGCAGGTCTGGCTCCTGTTGGAGCTTCTGAAACAGAGATGGCAAATAACACCACAAGAAGTCCACCAGCTGCTGGGGCTCATGGTTGTCTCTGGTGATCCAGGACCTGGTGGGACAGTGGTGCTGTGGGTGAGCTCTCCCCATCCTGGCTCTGCTGGTGAGCTGGCTTTGAAGAATTCTGGACTGACTGAGCAAACATGGGCTGAACTGCACCTTCCTCTTGCAGCAGTTCTGCTATTACTGCTGTGAGTTTGCAGTGCTGGTTTGGCCTCCCCTGGCTGATGCTGGTGCGAGTCCCCCACGCAGACATTTGGTTGGGTGCCTTCAGTTGGGCCAAGGCTCTGGGATGAGACACAGTGGGCCGAACCCAGCAAGAGAGAAGAGCTTTTGTTACCCTCTGTCAGAAGCCCTGCATGTATTTCCAGGGAGCGGGACAAGCTACACCAACTTCTTTGAATTTAGCCTGAAAATCTAATTTCAAAGACAACCGCTTGCAAATTTCCAACTGTCTTTTAGTCTTAGTGTTGAAAGCCCCTTGCATTCCCCCAGTGGCAATGCTCAGCAGCCCTTGAAATTATTTCCAGCATGTATTTTAAGTTTCCAAAGAAGAAAGCACAAGGAAAAAAAAATAAAATCTAGATTCTCCTCAGTGATGTTGCATCAATACTTGGCTGATCTGTATAATGCGAAGCACAGCGGAGCAGAGCTGAGCTACCAGTTGCTAGCTAACAAGAGGATTAGATTCGCCTGCAGATGGGCTGGCATAACTTAAGCAAGAGGGCAAATGTGTGGTAAAGTCAAACTTGGACTCTGGGTGAAGGTGGTAGTGCTTTTCCTCCAAAGAGCATCTGCCTCACAAACAGTGGGCAGGAAAGCAAAGCGAAAGCAGTTGGTTGGCCGGGGCCTGAGGAGTGTGTTGCAGTGAGTCAGTGCAGTTTGCATGGAGTTTGTTACTACTACTAATTGTATTTATGTTCCTGGCCAAACCAAGTGCACTGAGGTTTAAATGTGATAAACAAATCAAATCAAAATATAATCACAAACTCTCAAGTAGGATCTGTTTAACAAATAACATCCTCCAAGGTGGGCTGGGGAACAGGGAAACCAAACAAATTGACTGCAAAGAGTTTCCGAAGCCAAGAAATAGCGTAGCAGTGCCTTTGCCTGTTGATGTGGGGAGGGGTAGGGATGAGAACCCAGCCTGTGGGTGTAGGGAGGTGAGTGCTGTGGTCACCCTGGGAAACTTGCTCACTACTGGGATAGTACTGAATTTCTTGAGGTTCCTTTGAGGCTTTCTCGTTGAATAAAGATGATTTGAAAAGAATGTAGCTGTTCCAGGGAGATCTTTGTCAATGGTTTTGATAGTCTGGAGAACAAATTATCCAATCTTACTTTTAAATGTTTACATTTAATGGCAGTTTAAAATCTGTTACTGTTGGAATAGAAAGTGTTGGCATGTCACTGTAAAAGATTAACAAATTTTCCATCATTTTAGAAATGTTTGCTGTTTATTTCTGCATTTCCTGCAAGATGTCTAACAATTTTTCCATCCTCATCTATTATGAAATTTGCAACCTGGCTAGGATTTATTATCATGCTATTATATTTAATTTCCATATTGTTATTATGCTACAAGTCTTAGAATTTACATTGATACCTTTAAGTTCCTTTTTCATATTGTCTGCTCTTCCTTGCTGACATATGTTCCTTGATATCAGAGGAATGACTTTCCTATTTGTGATCGAATTTTAAAATTATTTTAACGTCTCTCCTTTTAACTGGATATTTTTCCTTTTTAACTAAAGAAACATTCTTTCATGGTTGAAGGCGATTTTTGAAGGTTTGTTTGTTTGTGTTTCTTATCTCCTGCTTATTATTCACTGACATTTTATTTTCCTCAAAAGCATTTTGAATTTCTCTTTTGGCTTGATGGTTTTCCACAGTACCAGCAGTCAGCATTAATGGTCAAGCTTGTATCTGCAGAGAAGAATGAAATGTGGTCATGATTACTAGTAGTGAATCCGTCATGAATATTTAGGTTGGTGATTCGTTCTCTTCATCTGTTTTTTCATCCAGGGAGATTGGCTGCTGAACCACCTCAATGCAACTGTTTTTTTTTTTCTGTTAGAAAAATATCAGTTTCTAAGGTATTTCCTGAAGTTGAGCCCCTGTGGTAATGTAACTTCTTCCACATATCACGGTAGATGTATTTCAGTAGGTCTGGAGGGGTCTTAGAGTGGCAGCTCTTAATGCACTGTGGTAGCATCCCATACTAACTGGGTCTTAAATTTATAGAAGAGCCTCTAATTCTGTTTTCTTTATGTTTAGGAAGCAAATACAGCAGTTTGAGTCAGGACAGAGCAGGAATTACAGCCATGGGTGGTGCAAGTTCAGTAAAGGACCAGTGAAAGCTGCTGACTTGGGAAGGGCCAGCTCTAAAGGCACACGAAGGTGCTTGATCTAATTTCTGCTGTGTGGGCAAATCACCCTCATGGGTTGGCAGGTGGAAGATGGACACCTCAGAGACCATCAGCCCTCCCAGAGGAACCAGCAGAGGCTGAAGCTTCAATACCCAAACATATTAAGCTGAGACTAAGGATGTTGCCACTTGGTGGGGTCAGATTTTGGCTGTGGGGAGCACAGAGGACAGTTCAGAGCTGCTGTCATGCAACACTCGTGATTTAAGGAGCTGCCTCCTGGAGCTGTGTAAGCTGGATTAAACAGGGGAGAGATTGGTCAAATGTAAGAGCTCGTGGTGGTAGAAATGAGAGAGGAAATCATAATTGCAAATAGCAGGTGAAAGCAGTTGAAATTAATTAGTACTGCATTGTGAGGTGAAGTTGCAGAAAGCTGCACACAGTGCTCTGTGCACTGATTATCACCTGCTGATTATCACAAAATGTCTTTATTTGTCCACGATTCCTTGAGGCAAATTGTAGCACCTTTACTTGAGGAGTTGGAGGAACAATTGGATTTTGGCCTCAGAGGGAAATCCTTGTTACTTGAGCAAGTTAAACATCCATACTGCTTATTCTATGCTTTTCATGTGCTTATTGGCTGTTAGTTTAGCATTTTACAAGTGAGACCAAGAAGATATGACATTATTTTTTCTTTTCACATTTTTTTTCTATAAATTTATTCTTCATGTCCCTGCAGAAACCAAGTTTCCCCCCTATTGTTCTTGTTATTGGCATTATACATAGATAAAGCAATTTAAGAGAGTATTTCTCCTAGTTAGGCAGAGCAGACATACAATATACCATAGGCACATCTGTCAACATGATGCCCCTGCCTGTCTTTATTTTCTTAGTTTGCTTGTGGTCCATTTAAAATTAGATTACGACTGATTGGTTCCTGCATTCAAACGACTTTGCACAATGCTCCATCCATGGGCATATAAAACAAAGCTGAGGCGACTGGAAAGCCTGAGGGATCAATTCCAAATATCACTCTGTAATAAAAACTGTATTTCCTTAATTTTTTTATTGATTCAGCACTCATTCTCCTGTAATGCTGCTGTGGTAATATTAAAACTCAGTGACTGACGGTGGCATCCCATAGAAGTAATTTAAACAGAGTACCAGGGAAGAGGGAAGGCTTTGCTTTTGCAACAATTTTCCTCAGACTGGCCCAGAGGAACTCCCTTGCAGGAAATAGACTGTGCACCTTCTCCCCTTTGAAATATATCATCTGTATTCCTCCCAGTCCTGTACCATGCCTGCTGTTGGCACTGCTGGGTGCAGCCTTTAAAAGCAAGTGGGAATATTTGGGTTGTAGGTGGGAACAGATTATTTGCGTGAACACAGAACTGACGTTTGTTCTAATGCAAACTCCAGACTATTCTTCATGCAATCCATGATACAAAACAAATGAAAAGAGCATTCCTGTGAAATTGAAGACATTTGGGTAATTAATAGTCACAAAATGTGTGCTTCTTGCAGGTGGAAATTTCAAAGGGCCTTGTGAGGTTTACATTCACAGAGCCAGTCAGTGAAGTGGGAACTGGGCATGTGAGTCCCAGAAAATGCCAGGGAGTCCTTGCTTGCCCATGGAAATAGGACGGAGATTTTGCTACGTGCTGTGAACCTCCAAGGTCTGCAACACTGTGCTAATGAGAGGTGTTTCTCAGTCTCTGCCATGGTTGGGGAAGCAGGGTATTCACAGTACTCCAGCTTGGGTTTCTGCTTCCTGATGGCACTCACAAATAAAGGAGAATTCTAAAAATGAAATGAAACTTGAAAATAGATATATGGGAACTCCAGAGGTTGCTGGAGGGTTTCTGTGTCAAGAGAGGTTAGTTCCCAATCTGCTCTCATAAGCATCCCAGAACCATAAAAAAGACATGCCCAGAGGCTGTTTCTGGACTGGGGAAATTTTAATGGAAATAGTCTCCTGTAGGAGATCCCCAGGCTCTGGCAGAGACAATATTTCATGTTGAGATAGGCATAATCTCCAAGATGTTTGTGGCCCAAAACTCGGAATCAAAAAAACAGCGAAAGTATGATCAAAACTGTCCCAGTTGAGATGTGCTAACCAGAATGATTCACAGAAGCAAAACTGATTAATGGGCATGTTTGAAACAACATAAAACTGGTGGCAATTTGTGAAAGAGGACTGTGGCAAAGCTTTTGTGGGACTGGGTGCTAGGAGCAAAGCCAAAGGCCTTCTCCCTTGGCTCAGCTGGATTAAAAAGCAAATTGAACCTACCCCTGAACAAAGAAGAAGTTTGAGATCTGGTCCAAAACCAGTATGTCTGCACCCAAGAGGTTAAGTGACACCCGCTTTGGCACTAAGTGGTTGTTTCATTGCTCTGCAAACTCTGTGCTTGTTGTTGATATCAGATTCTAATGAAGAGAGTGGAAAAAAGGTAGCTCAGACCTTGACTGAGTGGCATGAACGTCCCCTTGAGCTGTGGAGAAACACAGGCATCTTTGCCTTGATGCTGGGTGGGTGGGAGTGAGCAGTGCCACAGGTTCAGCCCGGAGCAGCAGCTGGAGGGGAGCACAGCTCGATCCACCTTCTGTCACATCAGGAAAGTCTCTCACCCTGGGCCCAGTGAGGGGTGGCCTGTCCCATCACTGCTTCCCAGAGTGGAGGGCTGTTTCCTCTGGACTTGTTTTCTGTTGACTGAAGTCAGGCAGTGGTTTTGTTTGGGTGTGATGCTGAATGAATATTGAGTGTGCCTCTAAGATAAAGTCATTATTTAGGAGCTCATTAAAGTACTGGCCTTGAAAAAATTTCCCACTGCTAATATCCTCTTCCATCACTGTGTCAGAGACTGGAGCTGCTTTAGAGAAAGGGCTGTGTGCTCCACAGCCATCTTCCCCCTCTTACCTGGGGGGCTACTGGGACCAGGGCTGGGATAAAACTTTTTTAAGTCTAGAGCTAAGAAAGGGCCAGATGTTAACATGAGTTTAAATTGCTAAGTAACCCCCCAACACCTTAATTTTTAGAAAAGATCCTGAGGCTATTTTCTCTCTACTCCTCCCTTTAGTGAGCTTGGGTATTACTCCCTGCTGTGAAAGCACACTTCTCCCTCTTTCTTTTCTCCCCACTTCCCACTTTCTCTCCTCATGCTCCTGAGATTCACCTGTTGCTGTGCCTGCAGGCTTTGCAATGGGAAGGGTTAAAGCAGCACAGCCATTCCCACACATTGCTATCCTGTGTGTTGGGAGAGAGCTGGAGCCCCAGGAGACACTGTGGACCCCTGTCCATGGGGTCACATCTTAGCCTGTAGCTTGGGAAGCAGATGGGGCTGCCTGCTTTCCACTGCTTGAAGGTAACTTCAGAGAGGTCAAAAGCGAGTTGCTGGACTTCCCCATCAAGAAATCCTTCCTCGTAGTCCTGTTGTGGTTTTCTAGGTGAACCCTGTCAGCATTAGTGCTGTGCTGGCAGATCCCAACTTCCTGCAGTGGGATTCAGGACAGCAAGTGTCTGTGGTGGAGAGTCTGTCCACAGCCCACCTTTCCTTCAGACGGTGTGCAGAGGCCTGCTGGAGCTTAAATAAATACTAATTTGCAGTAATGACATTTAATCCTCTTCAAACCATAATTTACAGTATCAGATTATTATCATAATATCTTATCTACAGTTCTTAATGCTTTATTGTTATCCCATTACAGGGAGTTCTGCTGCCATTGCATATTGTCTACTTCTCTTACAAATGTTCTACAGAAACCTTATTAATTATTAGTCTCATAAAACACCTGTTAATGTTACCATTTTAATAAATCTCCTCCTTAATTAAATTAGGTCATTCTGATAGTAATCCTCTAATGTCCACTGCCTTTCTGTTCTCATCACAGTCTGATTGTAGAGTGGGAAGCAGCCTTCAATTATAATTGATGTAGGCCATAATTCAGAACCAAATTATAACATATAAAGCCATATGATCATTGAGGAATATAATAGATCTCTACACTAAAGTGTCATTTGGATTGATTAGTGCTGTTTCTAGAGCCTTGTTAGAGGTGACAAAAGGCTTAATTCAAAGGGATTTTTTTTTTTTTTGCTTTTCTTTTTCTCTCTTTTTGTCTTGAATTCATGTACTCTATTTTCTCCTCAATAAGCAGCATCTACTCCAGCTACTTTGGTACAGTGTTCACAACAACTACTTTCCCACTCTTTCCCACTGGTGTTTCAGTTCTACAGCTGGCCCTTTTAGAATTATTTTGTAAAGACAGACTACATGATGATTTTATTTAATGATTTAATAAAACCTTTCCTCCTGAGATAGCTGCAAGAAATCTTGCTGATCTATTACTGCTGCTACCCGAGCATGGAAGTGCAGTTATGTATGATACAGCAATGCTAAAGCTATAAACAAAAAATTAAAAGTATATCAGAACAAAGATCTTACCCTAGCTGGAAAGCTGATTAGGGACCAGGAAGGTTTCCCACACTGGGGCAAACATGCTGCTCACTTGGGTCCAGGTCAGTTCCTCTCTGCTAGGGAGGTTTCTCTCAGGAGAAACCTGTCCTGGACCTTGCTGGTGCTCACCCACGTCCTGTTTGCATGTATTTGCACTCTCAGCATTGACTGCTTCTTTTCAGTTTTCTGAGTAGAGATGAGACACGTTTTATGGGATTAGTGGTGATCTCTGCTCTTGCAGGAAACCGTAGTGCAAAAAGCAGAACTTTCCCAGGACCATGGTGAGAACCTGACACTCAGCTCTCCAGATCTTTTCTGCTGCTGTTTTACATTGCTTCACTGCTTGTCTCCCCTCCCATCATACTCATTTGCTTTCCTCATGCCAGGTACAGTCATTTATTGCCCTAGAAAGCAATGTAGTAAAATGTTATCTGTGGTTTTTAATTGATTTAAATATAATTTAGAGGCTCATGTTGCAACAGTTCCTTTTCAGGGTCTCCCCCTTGCCCTGTGCATGCCTGCTTCCTCCCTGCCAGTCCTCCTGCTATTCTGTGGGCTTTGGTATCCAGCCCCTGTGGATATCACTGAACGCCCTTCTCAGAGGATATTGCCCTATTTCATGAGGTGGATTCCATCTCTCCCCAGTAATCCTCATTTTTCAAAGAGGATCCCAGCGTTGTAATTTCTGAATCATTTGTGAATCACCCAAAGGGTGCTGTAGCTACTTTGTATGTGATCTGATCCTTAAAAAAATTTTACATTCTTACTTTTAAAACTGAATTACATACCAAAAAGGCTTTGGAGAGAAAAAGCTGCAAGCTTTATTTGGATGATATTGTAATGAAGTATTTTGACTTTTTAAAAATGAAACATTTTGGTCTGTTTGGGTTATTTGCCTCATGTTTCCCAACAGTGGAAGTATTTTATGATTTTTTTTCCCCCACATTTGCTCATAACTTGCTGAAATTGTGTTATTTTGATGCCTTCTGCATTATTAGCTGTGGTCGCTCATTTGCTCATTTCCAGATCCATCAGTTTTGGGGTTTCCATTTCTGCCCCATGTGTTATCCACACTATTTTTGATATGGATACAGACAATGAGCACTGCAATCTCAAGCCATTTAAAACAAAAAAAATAAGTGGGAATCTGTGGAAAGGAGCTGTGGAATTTGGACTCTTAAGTGGTAGGTGCAACACAAGTAACTTGCAAATGATTGTAAAGCCCCGTGGGCGAAATAAGGTGCTGGTTTGGTGCCTCTGACTGAATTGCAAGTCATCCTCTAGCATTTTTCTACCTCCTAAACTGCAGCTGTTGTTTGTTTTGGGCCTGCACGAATTTTTAAGGAGCAGATTCTGCAGACGAGGCTTGAAATGAGGCATTGGCTCCTGATGCACACGGTGGATCTTCCTGTGGGAAAGGACGATGCCTGTTCCTCTGTCCCCTCCCGGGCACCCAGGCGGAAGATGCCCCATTCACTTGTGCACAATGTGATAATTGAGAGGGAGTTTCCTGGAGCTGAATGGTGCCTGCCCAGGGTCAGCAGCTGCTCTTCCATCTTGCCTTCCTCTGACGTCCCATATGAACTCCTGGCATCGGATGTTCGAGGGAGTCCTCCAAGATGATGAGCCTTTTTGTTGCTAAGAGATGACTTCTGGAGGAGCAAAAGTCATTAATTTGTTGGGAGTGGATAAGGAACTGTGAGTTAAGGTAGTTTGAAAATATTTCTATTTTTTTACATTAGGTACAAACAGAGGGAAATTATCCTGAAATCTGGGGTGTGCTGGTTATCCTTGGATCTTGGTTGTCCCAATGGATTGCTTGGATGTTTCACTACAACTGTGCATAAGTACTGCTGTCCTCTCTCTCTCTTTTGGGGTGCATTTAACCCATGCAAAGTGTGGCAGAGCCCAGCATCTGCTCAGTGCTGTCCCTGCTCTCCACTCGTCACACAGAGACACGCAGAGACTATTAACTGGGTCAGTGTGGTGATGCTCAGAAGCAGTGTGTGGCCCAGCCTTACTGAACTTTGGTAGATGAAGCGTGTCTGCTGAGTTATAGTCCTACTTGAGAGAGATTCATTGCTCCTACTAGGAGATAATGTGTTTCAGGGTATTTTTTTTGGAATGTCACACATCTCTGCCGGGAGAGGGGAGGGAAGG